TTCCCTTGGCAAGCCATCTGCCACCCCTGGAGTTTAAATCAGTAGCCACCTGCGGTTGGTACTCCAGTGTTCCATATGTGTCCCTATGTGGCCATATGTGTATTCTTAAGTCCTCCCTTCGGTAGGCAGCTGGTAGCATGTCCCCTTCGGGATATGTTTCCCAGTGTACCTTGGTAATCCTGTGTCAAAGTCGGATCCCCAAAAAAAAAAAAAAAAAAAAGAGGTAAGGCTCGGGGGTTCAGTCTTTCGCAGGGCACTGGAAGACAGCTTGAAGTTGGCGTGATGGCACAGACCCCCAATCTCCGTCACTTCTGACGTAACTCGAAGTGACTACGATAGGGAACGTCTCGGTTACGTATGTAACCCTCGTTCCCTGAGTAGGGAACGGAGACGTTACGTCTCCCTGCCACTTCTGCTGTATCGCTGGGTAGAGGCCGAGTTCAGTCTTGGCTCCTCAGCGAAGACATACTGCGGTTGCGTTCACTTCCTCCTTTTATACTCACGGAGTAGGGCGGAGTACGCTATGCAAATTTCCGCAGCCCCAAGGCATTGCATGCCATTGGCTCGTGTTTTAATACTCGAAGAGGATTGGCTTTCTATGCGAAACCCCCAATCTCCGTCACTTCTGACGTAACGTCTCCGTTCCCTACTCAGGGAACGAGGGTTACATACGTAACCGAGACGATTTATGCTGGATTTTTTTTTTTGACACATGAAAACATTTGTATTTATTTATTTTTTTACATGGGGGGGGGGGGTTGAGGGCACTCTCGCCTTGGGCACCAAATAACCTAGAGCCGGCCCTGTATGTCCTTTTGATTTCTTACAGGTTAGGCCATTGTTGGCCGGAACACGCTAGCATTCTGCTATTGTGTGACGTCATCACATTTTTGAACGGATTTTGTGAACTTAAAAATGCGATTTTCAGCTGAGTGTATTATCTTAGCCCTCCCTTTTGAATGCAACTTTCAAATTACTTGACAAAAAATTACATCCTGAGAAAAGTGGATTCCTGGGGGTGAAACCCCATTGACTCCCATTCATTCTGCACTCAATCAATCAATCAATCGTTTATTTATAGAGCACATTTAAAACACAACCGAGGTTGACCAAAGTGCTTTACAAGGAATAAAAGAGACACAGATATAAAACTACAATTCAAACTTAAAACTAAATGAGACAAGAAGGCACTAAAAAAAAATAAAAAATAATAATAATAATAATAATAAAAAGAAAAACAGAAAAAACAGGAAGACAGATTACAGGGTGTTAAAAGCCAGGGTGAATAGATGAGTCTTGAGTTGAGATTTAAAAGTACAGATAGATGGAGCTTGCCTAATTGCAGGAGGAAGGCTATTCCACAGCTTCGGCCCAGCAGCAGCAAAAGCACGCTCACCACGTTTTTTGAGTTTAACTTTAGGGACTGTAAGATGGCCAAGGTCAGAGGATCTCAGATTTCTAGAAGGAGTGTACGGAGTCAGAAGATCAGTTAAATATTGAGGAGCCAAGTTATTCTGAGTTTTATAGACAAATAATAAAATTTTAAACTCAATCCTATACTTTACTGGGAGCCAGTGCAAAGACATTAAGATAGGTGTTATGTGGTCAAACTTTCGCTTCCCCTCAAGTAGTCTAGCGGCAGCATTTTGGACCAACTGTAGACGCGAGATGAAAGCCTGAGAAATACCATAATACAGAGAATTACAGTAATCAAGCCTCGATGTAATAAATGCATGAACAGCTGTTTCCAAATTTCTCCTGGATAAGACGGGCTTCACTTTACTGAGAAGGCGAAGTTGATAAAAACATGATTTGACAACCGAGGAGATCTGTTTATCAAAGTTTAAACTGGAGTCAAAAAGGAAGCCCAAATTTCTGGCACACTTTGTGTTATAAGGGGAGAGACAACCCTGGTCAAAATCGAAAACACAGTTTTCTTTGGGGCCGAAAATAATAAACTCCGATTTATTTTCATTTAAGTTTAAGAAATTACTTGAAAGCCATGACTTCAGTTCATTTAGACAATCTAGCAGCGGCTGAAGAGTATATTTGTTGTTACGTTGCAAGGGCAGGTAGAGCTGTGTATCATCGGCATATAGATGAAAAGAAACACCATGTTTTTTAAAAATAGCAGCCACAGGGAGCAGATACAAAGAAAACAACACAGGCCCAAGGATTGAACCCTGAGGAACACCACAACCAAGGTGCTTGTTAGTGGATGAGTAATGTCCCAAGTGAACAGTAAAACATCTATCTGACAGGTAAGAGTGAAACCACTGTAAAACAGAACCGCGAAGTCCTACACAAGACTCCAAGCGTGACAGAAGAATGTTGTGGTCGACTAAATCAAAAGCAGCACTTAGGTCTAGCAGGACCAAAGCCATTTGTTTTCCTGAATCAGTGGTGAGATAAATATCATTTAAGACTCTTAAAAGAGCAGATTCAGTGCTATGTAGTGCTTTAAAACCTGATTGAAAAACTTCATTGATAGAATTCTTCAACATGAAAGACTGTAATTGAGCCAATACAACTTTCTCCATAATCTTTGAAATAAAAGGAAGATTTGAAATGGGTCGAAAACTGGAAAGAGATGAAGGTTCAAGATTAGTTTTTTTGATATATGGTGTTATCGCAGCATGTTTAAGGCGGACTGGAACAGTGCCCATATATAAGCATTTATTAATGACTGATAATAGACCTGGACCAACTGCGTCCATAGTTTGTTTGATGAAATGTGAAGGAACAATATCATGTGGACATGAAGTGGGCTTAAGGCAGTCCACAATTTCCTTACAGGAGTGCAAGTTGAGTGGCTCAAACTCAGACCATGTGGAGGAGTATAACGGAATCTCTAACAGTGTGTATCCAGTCTGAGCCATTTGAGATCTAATATCCAAAACCTTGTTAGTGAAAAAGTTTCCAAAACTTTCACAAAGCGAGACAGAAGGCTCAGGGAAAAAAGTAACAGGTGGATTTAGAACAGAGTCAATAGTGGAGAAGAGGACACGAGAGTTATGCTTATTTTTCTTAATCAGATCAGAGAGATATTTACACTTAGCAGCTTTGGCTGCCCTCTGAAACGTAAAAAGTGAATCTCTCATAATTTCATAAGAGACCTGTAATTTTTCCTTTTTCCACTTGCACTCGACCGCGAACGCTCCCGCATGGACAGAGACGCGTTACTGCAGCCAGTCCAGAAACCGGAAGTAACCAGCCAGTGCCAGTTCTCTTCAATTAGACATTCTCTGGTATCACAACAATTTTGAGTAATTTTTCAAGCAAATATTCCACATGTACAGTAAATGTCCTGACTTGTACTTGTCCTGACTTTAGTAGTGGTGCGCATGGGCGCGGTCACAGCCGCACGCGTGCTTGGGGCGCTACAAGAATCGCCCATAGCTGACTAGATTTGAGCTCGCCTTCCTCGGGCGATTTCTCCAGCGCCCCAGAGCTGATCACGTGCACTCTATGCATGCACTTCAGGAAGGGGAAGTGTAGAAAAACGTCTCGGTTACGGATGTAACCCTCGTTCCCTGAGTAGGGAACGGAGACGTTACGTCGGAAGTGACGGAGATTGGGGGTTTCGCATAGAAAGCCAATCCTCTTCGAGTATTTAAAAACGAGCCAATGGCATGCAATGCCTTGGGGCTGCGGAAATTTGCATAGCGTACTCCGCCCTACTCCGTGAGTATAAAAGGAGGAAGTGAACGCAACCGCAGTATGTCTTCGCTGAGGAGCCAAGACTGAACTCGGCGTCTACCCAGCGGTACAGCAGAAGTGGCAGGGAGACGTAACGTCTCCGTTCCCTACTCAGGGAACGAGGGTTACATCCGTAACCGAGACGTTGCCTTTCGTAGTCACTTCGAGTTACGTCAGAAGTGACGGAGATTGGGGGTCTGTGCCATCACGCCATCTTCAAGCTGTCTTCCAGTGCCCTGCGAAAGTCTGGACCCCTGAGCCTTACCTTCTTTTTTTTATTTTTTTTACAGGGATCCCACTTTGTCACAGGATTACCAAGGTACACTGGGAAACATATCCCGGGAGGGACATGCTATAGATGCCTACCGAAGGAGGACTTACAATACACATATGGCCGTATAGGAACGCATATGGAGATCACTGGAGCACCAACCGTAGGTGGCTACTAGAATTTAACTCCAGGGGTGGCAGATGGCTTGCCAAGGGAAGACACATGCTCAGAGAGGCTTACAGTGGATAATACACATGAGACGGTTACCGTGGGGAACCGTGCACATAGAGGCACCTAGCCAGCATCCAGAGCAACAGCAGTGGTGCCCGCATCGTCTGTGCTGGAGGACTCAGGGCTTCAATGGAAGAACTGAGGAGATATCGCACTTATCCAGTCCGAGGAGTGGTATGGCGAGCAAGCGAAGACACCTGAGCGGGTCCAGTACTGGCGGAAGCGAGTACGTGAGAGGACACCGGCTCAATTCGCAGATTATAGAATCTGGCGAAGGTGTTGGGTGTCGCCCAGCCTGCAGCTCTGCAGATGTCTGTTAGCGAGGCGCCGTGCGCTAGAGCCCAAGAGGAGGCCACACTCCGAGTGGAATGGGCCGTCACACCAAGGGGGCACGGACGGCCTTGCTGCTGGTAAGACAAAGCAATGGCGTCCACTATCCAGTGGGACAGCCGTTGCTTTGAGAGAGCCCTTCCCTTCTGGCTCCCCCCATGACAGACAAAGAGCTGGTCTGAGGTCCTGAAACACCGCATTCTGTCGACGTAGGTGCGGAGCGCACGTACCGGACAGAGCAGTGCCAAGGCTGGGTCTGCCTCCTCCAGGGGCAGCGCTTGCAGGTTCACCACCAGGTCCCAGAAGGGAGTGGTAGGAACCTTGGGCATATATCCAGGCCGGGGTCTCAGGAATACGTGAGAGTAAGCCGGCCCGAACTCCAGGCACACTTCGTCAACGGAGAGAATGTTCCTTCTGAATGGGAACATGAAATAATTTTTTTTTTATTATTATTTTTTATTTACAGAGCTCCGAGGTCCCAAGTAGCACCTGGTGTGAGTTAGAGGGCCTAAAGCGCAGCATAAACTTTCTGACTCAGCAACATATGCAAGTGTCTGCCCTCATCACAGACAGAAATCGGCAGGTAAAGAAACGCACATGTACACACCTAAAATCTTCCTGCTGACTATATTTACAAATAAAATCAAATGTTCTTTTTCAAAATTTCAGGTTGCCAAGTGTGGGTACGGGAGTTGTGTCCCAAAGGAACAAGCCATTTCTTTGATATCTGGCATATTGGCTAAAGTATGTATCTAAAAGAAAGTAGTTTAGATTGTTTATAATTACATTTTCCTTTTTAATATTTTGTGTTTCTGTTCTAAAACAGGCCTAGGGAAAGCATTGGATGCTGCTGCAAAGGAGAGGGAGTGTGAAGATCTGAAGCTGTGGAGGCCAGCTATTATTAACCATCTCTACTGGACTGCAGCTTCCACCCCTAATGGAGATGCAGATGTGATGGAGGCCAGGTGGAGAAGCATGGTCAACCATGTTCAGGAGCAAGGAACAAGGAGTGGCTGGAACCAGGTACAAAATACTGTTTATTATGTGGCTGAAAATGTATAGTGAATGTTCATTGTGCTTGATTTTCCAAATAAGGGTTTGACATTTCTGAAATGTCGTAGCAACTCTCAAACTAGCCGCGTTACAAAATAAACAAACCGGATTAACTAATAACACAATGAACATAATATGAACGACAGGTGCTTTTGTTTCGAAACAGGATTTTTAACATGCATTTTTTAACAAAAGTTTTGAATGCATCTGGATATTTCTCACATACTCTAGATTCTCATACTATTCAGTGTTGGTGCTAGCCTGACTTCGTCATACTCATATTCAAGAGAGAATATGAGTCTGAAACTCCTCCGTTGGGCTTTGATTATGAGGCGTGTCGTAACCGAACCAGGAAAAAAAAAACCCTCTCCACTCAATTGGATAGTCGGTAGATGTACAACCAATCAGAGCAACGCAGTAAGTCAACTCCTTTGCATAGCGCAGTTTTCAGATACAGAACGTAGCCTACTTTATTTATTTTAGAAGTTAAATAACGAGTGTTGCTTCTTTTACTTACTTCTCCATGAGTGCCACCAAAGGAAGAAACCACAACGACCACAGGCTTTTCATTACGTCCCATCTTCTTAACGACCGTCAGAGCCAGCTGATAAGTTACACTTTTCCCAAATCATGTAGGAAGGACGCCAAAAATATCTTTCCGATCGACAAATGCCTTGATTGCAGTTCTTTGTTTGTCTATTAAAATGAATGCGCAGTCGATTTAAATGAATGCGCAGTCGATTTATTTTACAAAAGACGTGCCAGTGGAATCTATACATCTCAATTCTCCAGCTGCAGTCATCTTTGACAAGCGCTCTTTGATAACATGATGATTACGTCCCTGCAGATCATCTGTCCATTATCGTATAAAGCCCACCCTGGCGATCTGATTGGCCCGATCATTTTTTGCCTGATCATAATTACTCCTCAATGGATCGAGTCCAGACCGAACTTCCCGACCCAAAAATGTTGTGGGCGGGCTGGCATCCAGGCTATGTTAGCGCACCAAATAATCATTTTAAGAGCCACAAAACAAAACAAAACATGAACAATATGTGATACAAATCCCACCTAATTGTGATCGTCCAATCATGACTCAGCTTAAGAACAAGATGTGCGTTCATGTGTGTTTATGCAGGATCCGGAGAGTGTAGTGTAGTCACTAGGACAGCGCTGGTAAAGGATGTTCGACAGTTGTCCCCTCAGCATCAGACTTTTTCACTGGAGGCATTTCACTCCCTGATCCTGCACTTTGCAACAAAGCACACTGGGTTCTCCGGTTCTCCTTCCTTGGGATGCACAGCAGGTAAGTGTGTGATGTGAAGGAATGAGTACTTTCTGAAACTAATGGAGTAGGGGTGTGCAAAAAAATCGATTCACATTTGAATCGCGATTCAATCTTTACCGATTCAGAATCGATTCATAGAATTCCAAAAATCGATTCATAGGCTATATTTTTTAATGGCGTGCAGGGGCGGAGTGGCAATCGGGTAAGTCGGGACTTTTACCGGTGGTCCGGTAGTGTTTCTATTGTTTCGAGGCTGCGAGGGCCGGTCTGATAAATAGTTATTGCAAGTTCTTGCCGCCCGCTGGTCAAACTGTGCAGCCACTCTGCTCAACCCGTAAATAAATGCATCGATCCGCAGATCTTATGTTTGAGTTCTGTAGATCTTTTGCCAAGCGTGTCAGAGGTTACGGGTTCTAAACCGCACTCGTATAGTTTTTTCTCTCTCTCATCAAAACCGAATATGTTCATCACGTTTGTGTGCATTTTATTTTGTGATTTCACCGGAGTCTCCACAACGGCGATAGATTGAAGCGCGCGTCCGAGAGAAGACTGCGCGAGCCACAGAGAACACTGTATCCATGACACTGATCGCAGCGGACACGAGCGCTCAGCTTGATTTCAAAAACAACAGGTCTCTTATTTAATAGCGAACTAAATGAATGCTCTGCTAGTTAACTGGAGATACCCGCAAATTACGCGCCTATGAACGACTTCACTGGATCTAAACAAATCAATCTAACCATAGATGTTACCAGTAGCGGTGGCTTTTTAAAATCTATTTAAAATATTTTCGCAAGGGTTCTATGAAATTAGTATATATTTTTAGGAAGTTCAATGTGCCCATTCGAGTTCATTTCAACAGTCAACCTGGTTGCTGAAGTAGGCCTACTCCTTAAACCACATTTAGCATAATTGTTTGTTTGATCTGACTACAGCACTTTAAAGCTAAATGTAAAAGCTTTTTATTTAAGTTTTATTTTAAACTTGAATTAAATGTATTTAAAAGCTGGCCAAAGCTTGGCACTTCGCACATTTTAGTTGCAAAAGTTTTTATTTTTGTATGAAGACATATAGAGTAATATCAAACTTTTTTTTTTAAATTATGTCTACTGCAATCAATCACATAGGAAAAAGTAAACTACATTTATGTAGACCTGCGAATCGTTTTTTGAATCGAGAATCGTTTTTGAATCGAAAATCGATTTTGAATCGAATCTCGAGACAAAAAATCGGTATCGAATCGAATCGTGACATTTTCTGAATCGTGCACCCCTAACTAACACAGCAGCCCAACTTTCTTTAAATGTGTAGTAAGCAATATTTTTGTTTTTTTTTCTATGTGTTGTTTTTACTTTTGGGTTTATTCACAAATGCATAACTTGTAATGGGTACAAATTACACTTTTTCTACAGACTTCTCTTGGCAGCCCTGCATTTCAACCACAATGGCAGCAGAGAGGTAGCTTGAACCAGTGATGGTGAGGCATGTTATGCGGTTCGCTACCCAAGGTTCCGCAAAGGTGGCTGGGTAGTCCGTCCTGTTAAGGAAAAGCCATCATATGGTGGGCAGTTTCAGTCAGTTCATAATAGGGGTGTAACGATATTCTAACCAAACTGAAAGACCGTGATACAGAACCCACAATTCGAATCGCGATAATCTCATGGAATACCGAACACGCCCTGCCCTCTGCTACCCCAGCCCCGCACAGCCGGCTCATAGGACCTCATGTCTTATGTGTACACAACGAATTCAGTTAGTCTTACCACCAATAATAATAAGAAAGCTGTAATCTTTTAAATTCTGTGTATTTGATCACAAAATTCAAACAATAAATGGCGTTTTGGCTCTCTTTGATGTGGCGTGACAGATCGCTGTACTAGATCCTCATTACAAGCGGGAGCGCAGAGCGCGAGTAAACGCAATCATCTCTTCCTCAGTTACAGAATAAACATGAATGGACACCTGAAGGTATGTTGACTTGAAAGATGCAGTTAACTTACTGAAAGGCATCATAACTCGTGTAATCGCTCAATCACTGTTTCAGCAGCGGAAAGACGTCTATAAAACAGCATAGTTTGCCACTAGCATTATATTTACCTCAACAGGCAAGTGATTCAGTGTCCGCAACTTGTTGGTTCCTATAAATGAACTCTTGCACTAAATAAATGCACTATATTAGCCTATATATTATATTTTACTTAACCTGTTAATCTTGATTATTTAATGTATGTTTAAAATATCTTTCATGAAAATGACAGCAACTGTGTCAATTATTATATTTCAATAACATATTTGCACAAGTTAATGCAAAAACTGCCTTACGCTCTGTTTACATGTTTTCATACAATGTGTTGTGTGTTGATTATTATATCTTAAAAATAAATAGCATCTGAATTTAGGCTAGAAGTCTAGGCTCTGTTGTCAACCTTTTCATGTTATAGTAAAGTGCAGCTCCCTATTGTCACAGTCTTCGTCTTCACCTGTTTGTCTCGTCATCTGCACCACGCTTCCCCGGATCCTTTTGTTTCCTCTCCTGATCTCACTCCCTCATCAGCCACCTGTTCCTCGTCTGTTCGTCATCATTTTCACCTGTTTGCACTCCATTTAGTTTGATTCCTCTGTCTATTTAGTTCCATCTTATTCAGTCTGTCTTTGTCAGTCGATGTTTAATGTTACTTGGTGAAACCCCGTCGTCCTGCCTGTATTTATTTAATAAATCAATGTTATTCCTGATTCTGGACTAAGCCTGTCCTTCTGCCTGAACCCGCACCGTGACACCTATATAATTTACCGCATTAGCAGATTTTTTTTAATCCTTGCAAAACGTTTAATTATAATTTAATTTATTTAAAGACAAAGATACAATATTTTCATTAAACCACTGTAAAAACAACTAAAAAACAAAAAAATAAATTTTAGCTTTCTAAACCGAACCGAGACGTCAAAACCAAGGAAAAACCGTACTGTCGGTTTTGTTAATTGTTATACCCCTAGTTCCTAAATATTAAGTCAGACCACGAGTTGGCAAATGAATGTGAATATCCTTCTCCCAGCATATGCATCAGCCCTCATGGAGTCTCTGAGAGAGGAATACTCTAGGTCACCACAGGCTCTACGAGAACACAGCGCAGTTTTGTCTTCCTCTACACCTGCTCCCCTTTCCAGATCCCTCCAGAGGATCAACAAGGATGAGGCTGTTGGCGTGTATCTATCACAGCATTCACGATTTAACACGTTAATTACACCTTAGTAAGATACCTGCGAGATTATTAAATTGTATATATGATAATAAAAAAGTTTTATACAGACAATTTGTGATTGTTTATTTTCTATTGATTGTCAACAAAATTGGGCCATTCAAAACCTTTATAAAGTCCTCCTTCCCCTGAAAACTGCCTTCTAATGGCTGACACAACACATGCAGGTAAGGGCTTCCTGATGTGCCTGCCCAGAATGCCATAGGCCCAGCAGACAACCTGCCTGTATGCAGTGTAGCGGTATTGCCTGAAAATATGGACAAAATATCAATATTGATCATCTTATACCAATGGTAGTCATGCCCTAAATAGAGGCAACTTGTAATTGGAAAAAAAAAAATACTTGCAACAATAGATTGTTTAAATATTCAAATCTTTAAGTTTGTTCATGTTATAACCCAGGTGAAAAATATGTATTAAAAATGTACTTGAGAATGTTTTTAGTACAATAAAAAATATACTCAGGTAAAGTTTTTATACATTTATTAGTATATCTACCCTAAACATACTCATGTCTGCTGGCCTGGAGAGGTCCATGCTCCTGTCTGAAGTGCATATAGGCTATCTGTAGCACATATCGGTTCAAACAGCAAGCCTCAAAGCCTGGGTGCAGAGTCAGGCACTGCACATCAAGTCTGGGGGTGACATTTTCCACTAAAGCCAAGTATGCATCTGTCACCAGGGGTTGCAGGCAGAAGAGGACGAGGAGTCAGGATTCCAATGAAGATAATATTTATTCAATATACAGGTAAGAAGACAGGTAACGGGTACAACGCAGGGGAACATTCACAACGACCGACAAAGACTGAATGGAACAGAGGGAACTAAATACATAGAAGAATCAAACATAATGAGGTGCAAACAGATGAAACAGGACGCAGAACGGGAGGCTGATGAGGGATTGGAGTTCAGGTGTGCAGACGAGAGGATCATGGGAAGTGTAGTGAAGGAGACGCAGACAGATGAGACTGTGACAGAACTCCCCCCTCCCGAAAGGCGTGGCCTCACGCCGTAGAACAGAGGAGGGAGGGGGACGAGCTGAAGGTAGAGCGGGGCGTGGCCAGGGCGGAGCAGGTTGAGGGCAGGGCAGGCTGAGGGCGTGGCCAGGGCGGGGCAGGCTGAGGGCGAGGCCAGGGCCGAACAGGCTGAGGGCGAGGCCAGGGCCGAACAGGCTGAGGGCGAGGCCAGGGCCGAACAGGCTGAGGGCGTGGCCAGGCGGAGCAGGTTGAGGGCGTGGCCAGGGCGGAGCAGGCTCAGGGCGAGACCAGGGCGGAGCAGGCTCAGGGCGGAGTAGATGGAGGGAGGACCCCCGGTGGAGCCGATGGAGACGGGTCTGACGACACCAGGGGGCCGACTGACAGGGGCGGAGCAAGTGAGAGAGGAGACCAGGGCGAAGCTGAGGGACCGACGAGACATGGTGATGATGAGGGACCAAGGGAACATGGAGACACCGCAGGCTCAGGTGACTGAAGTGATGACAGGGACAAAGAGGGATACGGTGAGGACAGAGGGAGTGAGAGCTGACGGGTGACTGGAGGGAGTGAGCAGTCCAACTGAACCGGGGGGGGTGAAATGACGGGGCGAAGCCAGAGGATGAAAGTCCAGAGGTGAAGGAAGGATGACGAGGGAGCCTGGCAGAACTGGTGGACAGAGGAGCCATGGAGGAGCTGAGGGAGGTAAGAGCCACTGGGAATCAGATGGGACTAGGGGCCGAGGAAGAGTCCATGGAGAAGAGGTTGGAGGAAGAGACCAGGGATCCATTGACCAGGCTGGTTTAGGGGAGATGGCAGACAGAAGGGCTGACGGATGAATAATGGGAGGAGGTGGGAGAGGGAGGACTTTCCACCTGATGAACACAAGCAGAATCGCTGAAGGACAAAATCACAAATTGTAAGTCACCGTTATGGAGATCAGTGTTTGCTTTAGTTGGGCTCTTGACACTTATACTCTCACTTTAAAGTTTGTTTGTCTTCTATCATTCATTTATAGTAGTCAAATGACCAAAGACATCTGTGATCTAATGGTGTTGGTTATGCTTTGACATAATCATGCTGTGATCTGAAAAATGAAATGTATTCAGATGATTTGCTTTAACTTGTTAGCAACAGTTATGTGGTTCTACTGTATATCTGTATTTTTCTTATAACCTAAAATATTTAATAAAAAAATATTCTGATCAAATCACTATCATCTTTATTTAGAAACACAGAGATCAATAATCAGCCTGTCTATCTCAACTGTGGTGACATTAATTGTCATTTTGCCACCAATCACAATTCATTAATGGCTCCAATCATCCAATGCGGTTTGAATAAATTATGATCTGAATTGTCGATGTAATTTACTTTTCCTACTTGAATATTCTACTCGTCACCGTTGTTGAGAAGCATTGACTGAATCTTGAGGTCTGTGTGTGCCTTAAAGAATGGTTTAAAAAAAAAAAAACTTTTGAGAAATCTGTTTATTTTATTTAACATTCTAAGTATTTATGCAGAATCTCAGTTATGCAGTAACCAATAGAATAAATCACTAACATAAATTTCAAATGATGAATGTCATTATATGACCAACATCAGTTTATAATTGTTTATGTTTGTTCATCTGACAGATATAACTCAGATGCAACAGCAAATTAAAATATAAAGTTTATAATATAAGGGTCAAGAGCCCAACTAAAGCAAACACTCATCGCCATAAGGGTGGCTTAAAATTTTAGATTTTTTTCCTTGTGATTCTGCTTTAGGTGTCTTCAATAATGCTCAATCATCACTCATTTAATCACTTAATTATCTCATTAACTTTATCGCTCTTGAGTGTGGACTCATATACACTCCCAGGTGTGTTAATTTAACACGGGAGATTTTGTCGTGACGAAGAGCCGTAGTTAACGGACCAGCTGAGCCATATCGAATTAAATATCGCTGGCGATACGTCCTCGATATTAACGCGATTTGGCTCAGCTTGTCAGTGATCTACGGCTCTTTGTAGTGAATGCCGCTCCATCTGAAAGCAGGTGAAGGTGATTTACTGCTAATCAAGGAACCGGCTTTACTGATTAGATGCGCATACAATATCGTGCGATATATTGCCCAGCCCTATGGCTGGACGGTCTCGGGCGATGCCTGGACAGGGCTGGATGGAACCAGCAATGAAGAAGGCTCGGGTTCGGCGGGGTTGGGCGGAACCAGCGGAGAGGGGGGCTCGAGCGTTGGAGTGGGACTGGTGACGTTATCCACGGTGAAGGAAGATCCACATGACACCAGCACCCACTCCACATAGTTCCCTCGAGGCCCGTCTCTGGACAGGCGTGCCTGGGTTTCAGCATTTAGGCCTGCCCGGAAGAACACACAGAGGCTGGTATCATCATAGTGAACATGAGGTACCAAGTCCAAATACCTCTGTGTGTGGGCCTCGAAGGATTGATCCTCCTGCTTCAGGAGGAGAAGTTGCACTGCTGCAAGATCCATAATTTTGAAGGTCGGTCGTTCTGTCACCAGGGGTTGCAGGCAGAAGAGGACGAGGAGTCAGGATTCCAACGAAGATAATATTTATTCAATATACAGGTAAGAAGACAGGTAACGGGTACAACGCAGGGGAACATTCACAACGACCGACAAAGACTGAATGGAACAGAGAGAACTAAATACATGGAAGGTGAACAGGTGAAACAGATGAAACAGGACGCTGAACGGGAGGCTAATGAGGGATTGAGTTCAGGTGTGCAGACGAAAGGATCATGGGAAGTGTAGTGAAGGAGACGCAGACAGAATGGTGCAGACGAGACTGTGACAGCATCCACCTCCCTGCAGCACTGACTTTCCTCAGCTGAGAACATTGCCTCGCATTTCCCACACAAGCACCTATGGAACAAAAACGTATATCAGGAAAAAAATATATCTCTCTCTTGATGAGAAACTATTAAGTTATCATGTAACGTTAGTCTGGACGGATATCAAGGAGCATGACATACGCCTGATCAAAGCTTATTAGATTCTGTTATTGGTACTTCCCAATAATCCTAGATGACCAAAAGGCTTTGCTAACTGATATATGATTGTAATAATCTGTGCAATATTATGAGCACAGTGCAAATCGTTAGCGAATATGTATTTATCTAAGCTAACACTGTTCTCTCTCACCAAGACACCTGTCCTGTTCTCCACTGGTTCTCCTCACACCACAACTCAATTTGTCTCCTCTGACCTTTCTGTCTAACATTAATCCTGGCCTGGGATCTCTTGGCAGCATAGCAGGCTCATAATTGTACGGCTGTGGTCCGTCATACGAGTAAATGTGAACAATTTCTTCAGCGTCTGAAATATCACCATTGTTTTCCTGTTTGAATCAACCTCAGCCTCTGGCGCTCTCCTGCTAGTTACGTCACGCCCGCCACGCCCATTTTCAGATGCGGAAGTAAAATTCTCAAAAAAACGACTCTAGAAACTTCTGTAGCGTATTTATACGACTATTTTAAAGAAAATCTAGTTCCTACATTATTTTTCTATACATTGACTTGTTGGGTCCTCTAACCTGCAATATGCCCTTTAAGATAATCGTGTATCATTTCCTTCATCTCTTGGGCTAATGCAGAGTCACTTTGTTCATGACTAAGACACTCAAATATCTTCCAGAGTAATGGCAAGACTGAGGACAGGGTGGTATGTTTTTCCCCACTAAGTGCATCAGTAAAAGGACTGAGTGGCTCAAGAACGGCTTTAACAGTTTCTAAAACTGTAATGTCTGAGTCTTTTGGCATCAGAACCTGCTGCTGCTCCAAGAAACGTTCCACCATATCATATGAAGAATTCCAGCGAGTGGGTTAATCATGAATGAGTTTGTGGTCTGGAGAGGACAGATCTTTCTGTTTTTTGGCCAGCTGGCGTGAAAGTTTTGGTGATCTTGTGAAGGCAGTAATAGTTTTTCGAGCCTATTGCCTTATTTACAGCAAGGTGGAGATTGTGTCCAAAACAAGGAATCCAGGTGTAATCCTCAAAGGCTTTTT